TTATTATTATTATCATTATGATAATGATAATCTATATAGACCTAGCATCTATTCCTGACAAGGTTCTTAGCACTGTATCTTGCAGAATTATCCTTTGATACAACTAACCAATATTTGTTACCACTCCACCTCTCTCCAACTAACTGGAAAAAAGAGGGAGATGAAAATGTGGGATGGGGGGGGGGCAGTAGAAGCAAAACTTTGACCTACCCCAGTTGTCTCGTTCCTTACATTTGGTGGTTTATGTTAGAAAAAGTGTTTGGGGCAAAAAGTGTGTCTGTGAGAGTTGAGGGTGGGTACCTCGGTACATTGGTGACGCACGGTTCCTATAGATACATGTAAAAAGCATACTGTCCTGATAACTACTGCAGTGCAGTTAAGTCTTGGCCTTTCACCTGCAGATAATCTCATTGTTTTCTGAAGCACCACTCGTGTGCACAGAAGTTTTCCCCCTCTTCACGAAGTTAGATGGCAAAACAAGGGCATGTTTTAGAGCAGTAAAAGACGCGTATTTTCTAATCCCCCTGCGAAAGATAAATATTTTTTTTTCTTTTCTCCTTTAGAAACTTTTGATTCCAAAAGTGAAATCCAATGTGAGAACGTATGGTCTGTATAGAAAGACGTGTGCAAAAGAGAATCGAGACGGATATACATGTAGTTTAAAACACGAAACATGGTTAATAGAAAAGGACAATCACTACAGTGACTGGTAACTACCTGTATTTCGATTTAAATGAAATGGTATACGTTCAATGCTGCTATCAGCACTGTTACGTTCTTTAACAGGCGGGACCTCCGAGTTTAACGTCCATTTCTGAAAGGACCGAGCCAAGAGGGAAATTCGTAAAAAGTGCCTTTCCCAAAAACACAACGCGGACCGAGCTGAGGCTCAAACCCCTGAACCCGCCATCTCACAATTACGAGTCCATTAGCCTACATATTTATTCGGATTCAATGCCCCTTACAATAAAGTTGGGTTTATAAAACATGTGGGGCCTCCGAATCTAGATTCCATCTCCGGTGGGACAGAATCATGTGGGTTGGTACTTGATACCTCAAAAACTTTTTTTTTTAAATAAATTAAAAAACGAGCTCAAGAACACTCAAAGCAGGTTCATATTATTGCAACAGTCCAAAATAAAACCTACTCAGCAGATGGGACAATCCGACTTGGATAAATTAACTTACGATAAATCGTCAAAATGCCGAAAAAAATAATAAAAGTGACAAACGGGGAGGACATTAACAGTCACGACCCTCTTCTGCATGACCAAACATGACGATACATGTGAAAAAGATATTTCACAAGTCCCTTTTGCTTTCTTTTGTTGAGAGGGGGAAAAAGAAAAATTTGAGAGCTTTAGAAGTTTAAGAGGCTACAAACTATTGCTTGTTTTTGTCAAAGGGGAGGGAATGACTCAAAAGGTTCGTGTGTTATTTCCCTTTAAAACATCATTCGGATGAAATAACCCCCCC